AAGGAAACGCTCTCGCACGTGTCAGGATGGCCGAGCGGTCTAAGGCGCTGCAATCAGGTTGCAGTACACTTGCGCGTTCGCGGATCAAACTCCCACGTCGAGCAATTATATTTAGTTGAGTTATTTGTTTTAGTTCTCATGAAGTAAATTAAAGGTTACGTTTTCTCAAATTTCAGGATGGCCAAGCGGTCAAAAGCGCTGCGTTCATGTCGAAGTCCTCCCGGTTTTAGCGTGGGTTCGAATCCCACTTCTGACAATAGAATTTTATTCAGTCATTTTGTTTTTGTTCTCATAACTAAAATGTAAGGAAACGCTCTCGCACGTGTCAGGATGGTCGATCGGTTTAAAGCGCTGCAATCAGGTCGCAATACACTTGCGCGTTCGCGGGTCAAACTCCCACGTCGAGCAATTATATTTAGTTGAGTTATTTTTTTAGTTCTCATAAAGTAAATTAAAGGAAACCTTTTTTTAAAATTCAGGATGACCAAGCGGTCAAAGGCACTGCGTTCATGTCGAAGTCCACTCGGTTTTGAAGTGCATTCGCGAATCCCACTTCTGATAATGTAATTTTATTCAGTCATTATTTTTAGTTCTCATAAACTAAATGTAAGGGAAAGATCTTTCACAGGTTAAGATTCCTGAGCGGTCTAAACCGCTGCGTTTAAGTCGCAGTAAAATTCTGCAGGCGTGGTTCGGATTCCACGTTTGACAATTTTATTTCATTCATTCATTTTTTTAAGTTCTCATTATTAAAATGAAAGGAAACCCTCTTCCACGCGTCAGGATGGCCGAGCGATCTAAGGCGCTGCGTTCAGGTCGTAGTCCACTTGTGTGGGCGTGGGTTCGAATCCCACTTATGACAATATGTTTCTATTCAGTCATTTTTTCAGGTTAAAGAACTAAATGCAAGGGAAAGCTAATCTGCGTGTCAGGAGGGCCGAGCGGTTTAAGGCGCTGCAATCAGGTCGTAGTCCACTTGCGTATTCGTGGGTTCGAATCCCACTTCGGACAATGTATTTCTTTCAGTCATTTTTTGAGTTTAAAAAAACTTTATGCAAGGGAAAGCTATTCTGTGTGTCAGGATGGCCGAGCGGTCTAAGGCGCTGCGTTCAGGTCGCAGTCCACTTCTGTGGGCGTGGGTTCGAATCCCACTTCTGACAATAGATTTTTATTCAGTCATTCTTTTTAGTTCTCATAACTTAAATGTAAGGAAATGCTCTCGCACGTGTCAGGATAGCCGAGCGGTTTAAAAGGCGCTGCAATCAGGTCGCAGTACACTTGCGCGTTCGCGGGTCAAACTCCCACGTCGAGCAATTATATTTAGTTATTTTTTTTAGTTCTCATAAAGTAAATTAAAGGTTACGTTTTCTCAAATTTCAGGATGGCCAAGCGGTCAAAGGCGCTGCAATCATGTCGAAGTCCACTCGGTTTTGGCGCGGGTTCGAATCCCACTTCGGATAATGTAATTTTATTTAGTCATTATTTTTTTAGTTTTCATAAACTAAATGTAAGGCAGAGATCTTTCATAGGTTAAGATTCCTGAGTGGTCTAAAGCGCTGCGTTCAGGTCTCAGTAAAATTCTGCAGGCGTGGTTTCGGATTCGACATTTGACAATTTTATTTCATTCATTCATTTTTAAGTTCTCATTAATTAAATGAAAGGAAACACTCTCCCACGTGTAAGGTTGGCCGAGCGGTCTAAGGCGCTGCGTTCAGGTCGCAGTCCACTTCTGTGGGCGTGGGTTCGAATCCCACTTCTGATAATGTAATTTTATTCAGTCATTATTTTTAGTTTTCATAAACTAAATGTAAGGCAAAGATCTTTCATAGGTTAAGATTCCTGAGCGGTCTGAAGCGCTGCGTTCAGGTCGCAGTAAAATTCTGCAGGCGTGGTTTCGAATCCCACTTCTGACACTAAAAATTTACTCAGTCATTTTTTGTTAGTTCTCATAACTTAAATGTAAGGAAACGCTATCGCATGTGTCAGGATGGCCGAGCGGTCTAAGGCGCTAACATCAGGTCGCAGTACACTTGCGTGTTCGGGGGTCCAAATCCCAAGTCGAGCAATTGTATTTAGTTGAGTTATTTTATTTAGTTCTCATAAAGTAAATTAAAGGAAACGTTTTCTTAAATTTCAGGATGGCCAAGTGGTCAAAGGCGCTGCGTTCATGTCGAATTCCACTCGGTTTTTGCGTAAGTTCGAATCCCACTGCGGATAATGTAATTTTATTCAGTCATTATTTTTTTAGTTTTCATAAACTAAATGTAAGGGAAAGATCTTTCACAGATTAAGATTCCTGAGCGATCTAAAGCGCTGCGTTCGAGTCGCAGAAAAATTCTGCAGGCGTGGTTTCGGATTCCACGATTGACAATTATAATTCATTCATTCATTTTTTTAGTTTTTATTAATTAAATGAAAGGAAACACTCTCCTACGTGTCGGATGGTCGTGCGGTCTAAGGCGCAGCGTTCAGGTCACAGACCTCTTGTGTGGGCGTGGGTTCGAATCCCACTTATGACCATGTATTTCTATTCAGTCATCTTTTGAGGTTAAAGAACTAAAGGCAAGGGAAAGCTCTTTTAGGGGTCAGAATGGCCGAGCGGTCTAAGGCGCTGCGTTCAGGTCGTAGTCCACTTGTGTGGGCTTGGGTTCGAATCCCACTTCTGACAATGTATTTCTATCCAGTCATTTTTTGAGGTTAAAGAACTAAATGCAAGGGAAAGCTAATCTGTGTGTCAGGAGGGACGAGAGGTTTAAGGCGCTGCAATCAGGTCGTAGTCCACTTGCGTGTTCGTGGGTTCGAATCCCACTTCTGACAATAAAATTTTATTCACATACTTTTCATAGGTTCCAAAAACTAAATGTAAGGGAAAACTCTTTCACATGTCAGGATGGCCTAACGTTCTAAGGCGCTGCGTTTAGATCACATTCCACTTCTGTGGGCGTGGGTTCGAATCCCACTTCTGACAATAGATTTTTATTCAGTCGTTCTTTTTTAGTTCTCATAACTTAAATGTAAGGAAATGCTCTCGCACGTGTCAGGATGGCCGAGCGGTCTAAAAGGCGCTGCAATCAGGTCGCAGTACACTTGCGCGTTCGCGGGTCAAACTCCCACGTCGAGCAATTATATTTAGTTGAGTTATTTTTTTTAGTTCTCATAAAGTAAATTAAAGTTTACGTCTTCTCAAATTTCAGGATGGCCAAGCGGTCAAAGGCGCTGCGTTTATGTCGAAATCCACACGGTTTTGGCGTGGGTTCGAATCCCACTTCGGATAATGTAATTTTATTTAGTCATTATTTTTTTAGTTTTCATAAGCTAAATGTAAGGCAAAGATCTTTTATAGGTTAAGATTCCTGAGTGGTCTAAAGCGCTGCGTTCAGATCGCAGTAAAATTCTGCAGGCGTGGTGTCGGATTCCACATTTGACAATTATATTTCATTCATTCATTTTTTAGTTCTCATTAATTAAATGAAAGGAAACACTCTCCCACGTGTCAAGATGGCCGAGCGATCTAAGGCGCTGCGTTCAGGTCGCAGTCCACTTGTGTGGGCGTGGGTTTGAATCCCACATCTGACAATGTATTTCTATTCAGTAATTTTTTGAGGTTAAAGAACTAAATGCAAGGGTAAGCTATTGTGCGTGTCAGGATGGCCGAGCGGTCTAAGGCGCTGCGTTCAGGTCGCAGTCTACTACTGTGGGCGTGGGTTCGAATCCCACTTCTGACAGTAAAATTTTATTCACATACTTTTCTTAGGTTCCAAACACTAAATGTAAGGGAAAACTCTTTCACATGTCAGGATGGCCGATCGGTCTAAGGCACTGCGTTTAGATCATATTCCACTTCTGTGGGCGTGGGTTCGAATCCCACTTCTGACAATAGAATTTTATTCAGTCATTGTTTTTTAGTTCTCATAACTTTAATATAAGGAAATGCTCTCGCACGTATCAGGATGGCCGAGCGCTCTAAGGCGCTGCGTTCAGGTCGCAGTACACTTGCGCGTTCGCGGGTCAAACTCCCACGTCGAGCAACTATATATAGATGAGTTACTTTCTTTAGTTCTCATAAAGTAAATTAAAGGTTACGTTTTCTCAAATTTCAGGATGGCCAAGCGGTCAAAGGCGCTGCGTTCATGTCGAGGTCCACTCGGTTTTGGCGTGGGTTCGAATCCCACTTCGGATAATGTAATTTTATTGAGTCATTATTTTTTTAGTTTTCATAAGCTAAATGTAAGGCAAAGATCTTTCATAGGTTAAGATTCCTGAGTGGTCTAAAGCGCTGCGTTCAGGTCGCAGTAAAATTCTGCAGGCGTGGTGTCGAATTCCACATTTGACAATTATATTTCATTCATTCATTCTTTACGTTCTCATTATTTAAATGAAAGGAATAACTCTCCCACCTGTCAGGATGGCCGAGCGGTCTAAGGCGCTGCGTTCAGGTCGCAGTCCACTTGTGTGGGCATGGGTTCGAATCCCACTTCTGACAATGTATTTCTATTCAGTCATTTTTTGAGGTTAAAGAACTAAATGCAAGGGAAAGCTATTTTGCGTGTCAGGAGGGACGAGCGCTTTAAGGCGCTGCGATCAGGTCGCAGTCCACTTGCGTGTTCGTGTGTTCGAATCCCACTTCGGACAATGTATTTCTTTCAGACATTTTTTGAGTTTTAAAAAACTACATGCAAGGGAAATCTATTCTGCGTGTCAGGATGGCCTAGCAGTCTAAGGCGCTGCGTTCAGGTCGCAGTCCACTTCTGTGGGCGTGGGTTCGAATCCCACTTCTGACAATAATATTTTATTCAGTCATTTTTTTTTTTGGTTCTCATAACTTAAATGTAAGGAAACGCTCTCGCACGTGTCAGGATAGCCGAGCGGTCTAAAGCGCTGCAATCAGGTCGCAAAAAAACTTGCGTGTTCGTGGGTCCAAATCCCACGTCGAGCAATTATATTCAGTTGAGTTATTTTTAGTTCTCATAAAGTAAATTAAAGGAAACGTTTTCTCAAATTTCAGAATGGCCAAGAGGTCAAAGGTGCTGCGTTCATGTCGAAGTCCTTTCGGTTTTGGCGTGGTTTCGAATCCCACTTCTGATAATGTAATTTTATTTAGTCATTATTTTTAGTTCTCATAAACTAAATGTAAGGGAAAAATCTTTCACAGGTTCACAGGTTAAGATTCCTGAGCGGTCTAAAGCGCTGCGTTTAAGTCGCAGTAAAATTCTGCAGGCGTGGTTTAGGATTCCACGTTTTACAATTATATTTCATTGATTCATTTTTTAAGTTCTCATTAATTAAATGAAAGGAAACCCTTTCCCACGTGTCAGGATGGCCGAGCGGTCTAAGGCGCTGCGTTCAGGTCGCAGTCCACTTGTGTGGTCGTGGGTTCGAATCCCACTTCTGACAATGTATTTCTATTCAGTCATTTTTTGAGGTTAAAGAACTAAATGCAAGGGAAAGCTATTTTGCGTGTCAGGAGGGACGAGCGCTTTAAGGCGCTGCAATCAGGTCGTAGTCCACTTCCGTGGGCGTTGGTTCGAATCCCACTTCTGACAATGTATTTCTTTTCAGTCATTTTTTGAGGTTCAAGAACTAAATGCAAGGGAAAGCTATTTTGCGTGTCAGGATGGCCGAGCGGTCTAAGCCGCTGCGTTCAGGTCGCAGTCAAGTTCTGTGGGCGTGGGTTCGAATCCCACTTCTAACAATAAAATTTTATTCACATACTTTTCTTAGGTAACAAAAACTAAATGTAAGGGAAACTTTTTCACATGTCAGGATGGCCGATCGGTCTAAGGCGCTGCGTTTAGATCACATTCTACTTCTGTGTGGGCGTGGTTTCGAATCCCATTTCTGACAATAAAATTTTATTCAGTCATTTTTTTAGTTCTCATAACTTAATTGTAAGGAAACGCTCTAGCACGTGTCAGGATGGCCGAGCGGTCTAAGGCGCTGCAATCAGGTCGCAGTATACTTGCGTGTTCGGGGGTCCAACTCCCATGTCGAGCAATTATATTTAGTTATTTTTTTTAGTTCTCATAAAGTAAATTAAAGGTTACGTTTTCTCAAATTTCAGGATGGCCAAGCGGTCAAAGGCGCTGCGTTTATGTCGAAATCCACACGGTTTTGGCGTGGGTTCGAATCCCACTTCGGATAATGTAATTTTATTTAGTCATTATTTTTAGTTTTCATAAGCTAAATGTAAGGCAAAGATCTTTTATAGGTTAAGATTCCTGAGTGGTCTAAAGCGCTGCGTTCAGATCGCAGTAAAATTCTGCAGGCGTGGTGTCGGATTCCACATTTGACAATTATATTTCATTCATTCATTTTTTTAGTTCTCATTAATTAAATGAAAGGAAACACTCTCCACGTGTCAAGATGGCCGAGCGATCTAAGGCGCTGCGTTCAGGTCGCAGTCCACTTGTGTGGGCGTGGGTTTGAACCCACATCTGACAATGTATTTCTATTCAGTAATTTTTTGAGGTTAAAGAACTAAATGCAAGGGAAAGCTATTGTGCGTGTCAGGATGGCCGAGCGGTCTAAGGCGCTGCGTTCAGGTCGCAGTCTACTACTGTGGGCGTGGGTTCGAATCCCACTTCTGACAGTAAAATTTTATTCACATACTTTTCTTAGGTTCCAAACACTAAATGTAAGGGAAAACTCTTTCACATGTCAGGATGGCCGATCGGTCTAAGGCACTGCGTTTAGATCATATTCCACTTCTGTGGGCGTGGGTTCGAATCCCACTTCTGACAATAGAATTTTATTCAGTCATTGTTTTTGGTTCTCATAACTTAAATATAAGGAAATGCTCTCGCACGTGTCAGGATGGCCGAGCGGTCTAAGGCGCTGCAATCAGGTCGCAGTACACTTGCGCGTTCGCGGGTCAAACTCCCACGTCGAGCAACTATATATAGATGAGTTACTTTCTTTAGTTCTCATAAAGTAAATTAAAGGTTACGTTTTCTCAAATTTCAGGATGGCCAAGCGGTCAAAGGCGCTGCGTTCATGTCGAGGTCCACTCGGCTTTGGCGTGGGTTCGGATCCCACTTCGGAAAATGTAATTTTATTGAGTCATTATTTTTTTAGTTTTCATAAGCTAAATGTAAGGCAAAGATCTTTCATAGGTTAAGATTCCTGAGTGGTCTAAAGCGCTGCGTTCAGGTCGCAGTAAAATTCTGCAGGCGTGGTGTCGGATTCCACATTTGACAATTATATTTCATTCATTCATTCTTTACGTTCTCATTAATTAAATGAAAGAATAACTCTCCCACGTGTCAGGATGGCCGAGCGGTCTAAGGCGTTGCGTTCAGGTCGCAGTCCACTTGTGTGGGCATGGGTTCGAATCCCACATCTGACAATGTATTTCTATTCAGTAATTTTTTGAGGTTAAAGAACTAAATGCAAGGGAAAGCTATTTTGCGTGTCAGGAGGGACGAGCGCTTTAAGGCGCTGCAATCAGGTCGTAGTCCACTTGCGTGTTCGTGGGTTCGAATCCCACTTCGGACAATGTATTTCTTTCAGACATTTTTTGAGTTTTATGAAACTACATGCAAGGGAAAGCTATTCTGCGTGTCAGGATGGCCGAGCAGTCTAAGGCGCTGCGATCAGGTCGCAGTCCACTTCTGTGGGCGTGGGTTCGAATCCCACTTCTGACAATAATATTTTATTCAGTCAATTTTTTTGGTTCTCATAACTTAAATGTAAGGAAACGCTCTCGCACGTGTCAGGATAGCCGAGCGGTCTAAAGCGCTGCAATCAGGTCGCAGAAAAACTTGCGTGTTCGTGGGTCCAAATCCCACGTCGAGCAATTATATTCAGTTGAGTTATTTTTTTTAGTTCTCATAAAGTAAATTAAAGGAAACGTTTTCTCAAATTTCAGAATGGCCAAGAGGTCAAAGGTGCTGCGTTCATGTCGAAGTCCTTTCGGTTTTGGCGTGGTTTCGAATCCCACTTCTGATAATGTAATTTTATTTAGTCATTATTTTTTTAGTTCTCATAAACTAAATGTAAGGGAAAAATCTTTCACAGGTTCACAGGTTAAGATTCCTGAGCGGTCTAAAGCGCTGCGTTTAAGTCGCAGTAAAATTCTGCAGGCGTGGTTTCGGATTCCACGTTTTACAATTATATTTCATTCATTCATTTTTTTAAGTTCTCATTAATTAAATGAAAGGAAACCCTTTCCCACGTGTCAGGATGGCCGAGCGGTCTAAGGCGCTGCGTTCAGGTCGCAGTCCACTTGTGTGGTCGTGGGTTCGAATCCCACTTCTGACAATGTATTTCTATTCAGTCATTTTTTGAGGTTAAAGAACTAAATGCAAGGGAAAGCTATTTTGCGTGTCAGGAGGGACGAGCGCTTTAAGGCGCTGCAATCAGGTCGTAGTCCACTTCCGTGGGCGTTGGTTCGAATCCCACTTCTGACAATGTATTTCTATTCAGTCATTTTTTGAGGTTCAAGAACTAAATGCAAGGGAAAGCTATTTTGCGTGTCAGGATGGCCGAGCGGTCTAAGCCGCTGCGTTCAGGTCGCAGTCCATTTCTGTGGGCGTGGGTTGGAATCCCACTTCTAACAATAAAATTTTATTCACATACTTTTTCTTAGGTAACAAAAACTAAATGTAAGGGAAACTTTTCACATGTCAGGATGGCCGATCGGTCTAAGGCGCTGCGTTTAGATAACCTTCTACTTCTGTGGGCGTGGTTTCGAATCCCATTTCTGACAATAAAATTTTATTCAGTCATTTTTTTTAGTTCTCATAACTTAATTGTAAGGAAACGCTCTAGCACGTGTCAGGATGGCCGAGCGGTCTAAGGCGCTGCAATCAGGTCGCAGTATACTTGCGTGTTCGGGGCCCAACTCCCACGTCGAGCAATTATATTTAGTTATTTTTAGTTCTCATAAAGTAAATTAAAGGAAACGTTTTCTCAAATTTCAGAATGGCCAAGCGGTCAAAGGCGCTGCGTTCATGTCGAAGTGCTCCCGGTTTTAGCGTGGGTTCGAATCCCACTTCTGACAATAAAATTTTATTCACATACTTTTCTTAGGTTACAAAAACTAAATGTAAGGGAAATCTCTTTCACATGTCAGGATGACCGATCGGTCTAAGGCGCTGCGTTTAGATCACATTCCACTTCTGTGGGCGTGGGTTCAAATCCCACTTCTGACAATAAAATTTTTTTCAGTCATTTTTTTTTAGTTCTCATAACTTAAATGTAAGGAAATGCTCTCGTACGTGTCAGGATGGCCGATCGGTTTAAAGCGCTGCAATCAGGTCGCAGTACACTTGCGCGCTCGCGGGTCAAACTCCCACGTCGAGCAATTATATTTAGTTGAGTTATTTTTTTTAGTTCTCATAAAGTAAATTAAAGGAAACCTTTTTTTAAATTTCAGGATGACCAAGCGGTCAAAGGCGCTCGTTCATGTCGAAGTCCACTCGGTTTTAAAGTGGATTCGCGAATCCCACTTCTGATAATGTAATTTTATTCAGTCATTATTTTTTTAGTTCTCATAAACTAAATGTAAGGGAAAGATCTTTCACAGGTTAAGATTCCTGAGCGGTCTAAAGCGCTGCGTTTAAGTCGCAGTAAAATTCTGCAGGCGTGGTTTCGGATTCCACGATTGACAATTATAATTCATTCATTCATTTTTTTAGTTTTTATTAATTAAATGAAAGGAAACACTCTCCTACGTGTCAGATGGTCGTGCGGTCTACGGCGCTGCGTTCAGGTCACAGACCTCTTGTGTGGGCGTGGGTTCGAATCCCACTTCTGACAATGTATTTCTATTCAGTCATCTTTTGAGGTTAAAGAACTAAATGCAAGGGGAAGCTCTTTTAGGTGTCAGAATGGCCGAGCGGTCTAAGGCGCTGAGTTCAGGTCGCAGCCCACTTCTATGGGCGTGGGTTCGAATCCCACTTCTGACAATAAATATTTATTCAGTTATGTTTTTTAGGTTCCAAAAACTAAATTTAAGGTAAATCTCTTTTACATGTCAGGATGGCCGATCGGTCTAAAGCGCTGCGTTTAGACCGCATTCCACTTCTGTGGGCGTGGGTTCGAATCCTACTTCTGACAATAAAATTTTATTGAGTCATTTTTTTTTAGTTCTCATAACTTAAAATGTAAGGAAATGCTCTCCCACGTGTCAGGATGGCAGAGTGGTCTAAGGCGCTGCAATCAGGTCGCAGACCACTTGCGTGTTCGGGGTCCAAATCCCACATCGAGCAATTATATTTAGTTGAGTTATTTTTTTTTAGTTCTCATAAAGTAAATTAAAAGAAAAGGTTTTCTCAAATTTCAGGATGGCCAAGCGTTCAAAGGCGCTGCGTTCATGTCGAAGTCCACTCGGTTTTGGCGTGGGTTCGAATCCCACTTCTGATAATGTATTTCTATTCAGTCATTTTTTGAGGTTAAAGAACTAAATGCAAGGGAAAGCTATTTTGCGTGTCAGGATGGCCGAGCGGTTTAAGGCGCTGCAATCAGGTCGTAGTACACTTGCTTGGGCGTGAATTTTAATCCCACTTCTGACAATGTATTTTTTTCAGTCATTTTTTGAGGTTAAAAAACTACATGCAAGAGAAAGCTATTTTGCGTGTCAGGATGGCCGAGCGGTCTAAGGCGCTGCGTTCTGGTCGCAGTCCATTTGTGTGGTAGTGGGTTTGAATCCCACTTCTGACAATGTATTTCTATTCAGTCATTTTTTGAAGTTAAAGAACTAAATGCAAGGGAAAGCTATTTTGCGTGTCAGGATGGCCGATCGGTCTTATTCGCTGCGTTCAGTTAGCAGTCCACTTCTGTGGGCGTGGGTTCGAATCCCACTTCTGACAATAAAATTTTATTCACATACTTTTCTTAGGTTCCAAAAACTAAATGTAAGGGAAAACTCTTTCACATGTCTGGATGGCCGATCGGTCTAAGGCGCTGCGTTTAGATCACATTCCACTTCTGTGGGCGTGGGTTCGAATCCCACTTCTTACAATAAAATTTTATTCAAACATTTTTTTTTTTTTTAGTTCTCATAACTTAAATGTAAGGAAACGCTTTAGCATGTGGCAGGATGGCCGAGCGGTCTAAGGTGCTGCAATCAGGACGCAGTACATGTGCGTGTTCGGGGGTCCAACTCCCACGTCGAGCAACTATATATAGATGAGTTATTTTTTTTAGTTCTCATAAAGTAAATTAAAGGAAAAGTTTTCTCTGATTTCAGGATGGCCAAGCGGTCAAAGGCGCTGCGTTCATGTCGAAGCCCACTCGGTTTTGGCGTGGGTTCGAATCCCACATCTGATAATGTAATTATATTGAGTCATTATTTTTTTAGTTTTCATAAACTAAATTTAAGGCAAAGATCTTTCATAGGTTAAGATTCCTGAGTGGTCTAAAGCGCTGCGTTCAGGTCGCTGTAAAATTCTGCAGGCGTGGTGTCGGATTCCACATTTGACAATTATATTTCATTCATTCATTGTTTACGTTCTCATTAATTAAATGAAAGGAATAACTCTCCCACGTGTCAGGATGGCCGAGCGGTCTAAGGCGCTGCGTTCAGGTCGCAGTCCACTTGTGTGGGCATGGGTTCGAATCCCACTTCTGACAATGTATTTCTATTCAGTCATTTTTTGAGGTTAAAGAACTAAATGCAAGGGAAAGCTATTTTGCGTGTCAGGAGGGACGAGCGCTTTAAGGCGCTGCAATCAGGTCGTAGTCCACTTGCGTGTTCGTGGGTTCGAATCCCACTTCGGACAATGTATTTCTTTCAGTCATTTTTTGAGTTTTAAGAAACTACATGCAAGGGAAAGCTATTCTGCGCGTCAGGATGGCCGAGCGGTCTAAGGCGCTGCGTTCAGGTCGCAGTCCACTTCCGTGGGCGTGGGTTCGAATCCCCCTTCTGACAATAAAATTTTATTCACATACTTTTCTTAGGTTAAAAAACTAAATGTAAGGGAAAAAAGTCTTTCACATGTCAGGATGGCCGAACGGTCTAAGGCGCTGCGTTTAGATCACATTCCACTTCTGACAATAAAATTTTATTCAGTCATTTTTTTTGGTTCTCATAACTTAAATGTAAGGAAACGCTCTCGCACGTGTCAGGATAGCCGAGCGGTCTAAAGCGCTGCAATCAGGTCGCAGAAAAACTTGCGTGTTCGTGGGTCCAACTCCCACGTCGAGCAATTATATTCAGTTGAGTTATTTTTTTTAGTTCTCATAAAGTAAATTAAAGGAAACGTTTTCTCAAATTTCAGAATGGCCAAGCGGTCAAAGGTGCTGCGTTCATGTCGAAGTCCTTTCGGATTTGGCGTGGTTACGAATCCCACTTCTGATAATGTAATTTTATTTAGTCATTATTTTTTTAGTTCTCATAAACTAAATGTAAGGGAAAAATCTTTCACAGGTTCACAGGTTAAGATTCCTGAGCGGTCTAAAGCGCTGCGTTTAAGTCGCAGTAAAATTCTGCAGGCGTGGTTTCGGATTCCACGTTTTACAATTATATTTCATTCATTCATTTTTTTTTTTTTTTTTTTTAAGTTCTCATTAATTAAATGAGGAAACCCTTTCCCACGTGTCAGGATGGCCGAGCGGTCTAAGGCGCTGCGTTCAGGTCGCAGTCCACTTGTTTGGTCGTGGGTTCGATTCCCACTTCTGACAATGTATTTCTATTCAGTCATTTTTTGAGGTTAAAGAACTAAATGCAAGGGAAATCTATTTTGCGTGTCAGGAGGGACGAGCGCTTTAAGGCGCTGCAATCAGGTCGTAGTCCACTTCCGTGGGCGTTGGTTCGAATCCCACTTCTGACAATGTATTTCTATTCAGTCATTTTTTGAGGTTAAAGAACTAAATGCAAGGGAAAGCTATTTTGCGTGTCAGGATGGCCGAGCGGTCTAAGCCGCTGCGTTTAGATCACTTTCCACTTCTGTGGTCGTGGGTTCGAATCCGACTTCTGACAATAGTATTTTAATCAGTCATTTTGTTTTTGTTCTCATAACTAAAATGTAAGGAAACGCTCTCGCATGTGTCAGGATGGCCGAGCGGTCTAAGGCGCTGCAATCAGGTTTCAGTACACTTGCGCGTTCGCGGATCAATCTCCCACGTCGAGCAATTATATTTAGTTGAGTTATTTTTTTTAGTTCTCATAAAGTAAATTAAAGGTTGCCAAGCGGTCAAAAGCACTGCGTTCATGTCGAAGTCCTCCCGGTTTTAGCGTGGGTTCGAATCCCACTTCTGGCAATAAAATTTTATTCACATACTTTTCTTAGGTTACAAAAACTAAATGTAAGGGAAATCTCTTTCACATGTCAGGATGGCCGATCGGTCTAAGGCGCTGCGTTTAGATCACATTCCACTTCTGTGGGCGTGGGTTCAAATCCCACTTCTGACAATAAAATTTTATTCAGTCATTTTTTTTAGTTCTCATAACTTAAATGTAAGGAAATGCTCTCGCACGTGTCAGGATGGCCGATCGGTTTAAAGCGCTGCAATCAGGTCGCAGTACACTTGCGCGTTCGCGGGTCAAACTCCCACGTCGAGCAATTATATTTAGTTGAGTTATTTTTTTTAGTTCTCATAAAGTATATTAAAGGAAACGTTTTCTCAAATTTCAGGATGTCCAAGCGGTCAAAGGCGCTGCGTTCATGTCGAAGTCCATTTGGTTTTGGCGTGGGTTCGAATCCCACTTCTGATAATGTAATTTTATTGAGTCATTATTTTTTTAGTTTTCATAAACTAAATGTAAGGTAAAGATTTTTCATAGGTTAAGATTCCTGAGCGGTCTAAAGCGCTGCGTTTAAGTCGCAGTAAAATTCTGCAGGCGTGGTTTTAGATTCCACGTTTGACAATTTTATTTCATTCATTCATTTTGTTAAGTTCTCATTAATTAAATGAAAGGAAACCCTCTCCCACGAGTCAGGATGGCCGAGCGATCTAAGGCGCTGCGTTCAGGTCGCAGTCCAATTGTGTGGGCGTCGGTTCGAATCCCACTTCTGACTATGTATTTCTATTCAGTAATTTTTTGAGGTTAAAGAACTAAATGCAAGGGAAAGGTATGGTGCGTGTCAGGATGGGCGTGCGGTCTAAGGCGCTGCGTTCAGGTCGCAGTACACTTTTGTGGGCGTGGGTTCGAATCCCACTTCTGACAATAGAATTTTATTCAGTCATTTTTTTTTAGTTCGCATAACTTAAATGTAAGGAAACACTCTCCCACGTGTCAGGATGGCCGAGCGGTCTAAGGCGCTGCGTTCAGGTCGCAGTCCACTTCTGTGGCGTGGGTTCGAATCCCACTTCTGACAATAAAAATTTATTCAGTCATTTTTGGTTAGTTCTCATAACCTAAATGTAAGGAAACGCTATCGCACGTGTCAGGATGGCCGAGCTATTCTAAGGCGCTGCAATCAGGTCGCAGACCACTTGCGTGTTCGGTGTATAAACCCAAGGGCAAGCAATTTTATTTAGTTGAGTTATTTTTTTAGTTCTCATAAAGTAAATTAAAAGGAAAGATTTTCTCAAATTTCAGGATGGCCAAGTGGTCAAAGGCGCTGCGTTCATGTTTAATTCCACTCGGTTTTGGCGAGGGTTCGAATCCCACTTCGGAAAATGTAATTTTATTCAGTCATTATTTTTTTAGTTTTCATAAACTAAATGTAAGGGAAAGATCTTTCACAGATTAAGATTCCTGAGCGATCTAAAGCTCTGCGTTTAAGTCGCAGTAAAATTCTGCAGGCGTGGTTTCGGATTCCACGATTGACAATTATAATTCATTCATTCATTTTTTAAGTTTTCTTTAATTAAATGAAATGAAACACTCTCCTACGTGTCAGATGGTCGAGCGGTCTAAGGCGCTGCGTTCAGGTCGCAGTCCACTTGTGTGGGCGTGGGTTCGAATCCCACTTTTGACAATGTATTTCTATTGTCATTTTTTGAGGTTAAAGAACTAAATGCAAGGGAAAGTTATTTTGCGTGTCAGGATGGCCGATTGGTCTTATTCGCTGCGTTCAGTTAGCAGTCCACTTCTGTGGGCGTGGGTTCGAATCCCACTTCTGACAATAAAAATTTTATTCACATACTTTTCTTAGGTTCCAAAAACTAAATGTAAGGGCAAACTCTTTCACATGTCAGGATGGCCGATCGGTGTAAGGCGCTGCGTTTTGTTCACATTCCACTTCTGTGGGCGTGGGTTCGAATCCCACTTCTGATAATGTAATTTTATTCAGTCATTATTTTTTTAGTTTTCATAAACTAAATGTAAGGCAAAGATCTTTCATAGGTTAAGATTCCTTAGCGGTCTAAAGCGCTGCGTTTAGGTCGCAGTAAAATTCTGCAGGCGTGGTTTCGGATTCTACGTTTGATAATTATAATTCATTCATTCATTTTTTAGTTCTCATTAATTAAAGGAAAGGAAACACTCTCCCACGTGTCAAGATGGCCGAGCGGTTTAAGGCGCTGCGTTCAGGTCGCAGTCCACTTCTGTGGGCGTGGGTTTGAATCCCACGTCTGACAATAAAAATGTATTCAGTCATTTTTTTTAGTTCTCATAATTTAAATGCAAGGAAACGATCTCGCACGTGTCAGGATCGCCGAGCGGTCTAAGGCGCTGCAATTAGGTCACAGTCTACTTGCGTGTTCGGGGGTCCACACACACACACACACACAAATCCCACGTCGAACAATTATATTTAGTTGAGTTATTTTTTTTTTTAGTTCTCATAAAGTAAATTAAAGGAAACGTTTTCTCAAATTTCAGGATGGCCAAGCGGTCAAAGGCGCAGCGTTCCTGTCGAAGTCCACTCGGTTTTGGCGTGGGTTCGAATCCCACTTCTGATAATGTTTCTATTCAGTCATTTTTTGAGTTTAAAGAACTAAATGCAAGGGAAAGATATTTTGCGTGTCAGGATGGACGAACGGTTTAAGGCGCTGCTATCAGATCGTAGTACACTTCCTTGGGCGTTGGTTCGAATCCCACTTCTAATGTATTTCTTTCAGTCATTTTTTGAGGTTAAAAAACTTTATGCAAGTGAAAGCTATTTTGCGTGTCAGGATGGAAGTGTAGTCTAAGGCGCTGCGTTCAGGTCGCAGAGGTTCTAAATGCAAGGGAAAGCACTATTTCGCGTGTGTGTGGGTTCTGAATCCCACTTCGGACAATGTATTTCTTTCAGTCATTTTTTTAGTTTTAAAAACTTCATGCAAGGGAAAGCTATTCTGCGTGTCAGGATGGCCGAGCGGTCTAAGGCGCTGCGTTCAGGTCGCAGTCCAGTTCTGTGGGCGTGGGTTCGATTCCCATTTCTGACAATAAAATTTTATTCACATACTTTTCTTAGGTTCCAAAAACTAAATGTAAGGGCAAACTCTTTCACATGTCAGGATAGCCGATCGGTGTAAGGCGCTGCGTTTTGTTCACATTCCACTTCTGTGGGCGTGGGTTCGAATCCCACTTCTGATAATGTAATTTTATTCAGTCATTATTTTTTTTTTTAGTTTTCATAAACTAAATGTAAGGCAAAAGATCTTTCATAGGTTAAGATTCCTTAGCGGTCTAAAGCGCTGCGTTTAGGTCGCAGTAAAATTCTGCAGGCGTGGTTTCGGATTCTACGTTTGATAATTATAATTCATTCATTCATTTTTTTAGTTCTCATTAATTAAAGGAAAGGAAACACTCTCCCATGTGTCAAGATGGCCGAGCGGTTTAAGGCGCTGCGTTCAGGTCGCAGTCCACTTCTGTGGGCGTGGGTTTGAATCCCACGTCTGACAATAAAAATGTATTCAGTCATTTTTTTTAGTTCTCATAATTTAAATGCAAGGAAACGATCTCGCACGTGTCAGGATCGCCGAGCGGTCTAAGGCGCTGCAATTAGGTCACAGTCTACTTGCGTGTTTGGGGGTCCACACACACACACACAAATCCCACGTGGAACAATTATATTTAGTTGAGTTATTTTTTTTTTTTTTTTTAGTTCTCATAAAGTAAATTAAAGGAAACGTTTTCTCAAATTTTAGGATGGCCAAGCGGTCAAAGGCGCAGCGTTCCTGTCGAAGTCCACTCGGTTTTGGCGTGGGTTCGAATCCCACTTCTGATAATGTTTCTATTCAGTCATTTTTTGAGTTTAAAGAACTAAATGCAAGGGAAAGATATTTTGCGTGTCAGGATGGACGAACGGTTTAAGGCGCTGCTATCAGATCGTAGTACACTTCCTTGGGCGTTGGTTCGAATCCCACTTCTAATGTATTTCTTTCAGTCATTTTTTTAGTTTTAAAAAACTTCATGCAATGAAAGCTATTCTGCGTGTCAGGATGGCCGAGCGGTCTAAGGCGCTGCGTTCAGGTCGCGGGTTCGATTCCCATTTCTGACAATAAAATTTTATTCACATACTTTTCTTAGGTTCCAAAAACTAAATGTAAGGGAAAAGTCTTTCACATGTCAGGATGGCAGATCGGTCTAAGGCGCTGCGTTTAGATCACAATCCACTTCTGTGGGCGTGGGTTCGAATCCCACTTCTGACAATAAAATTTTATTCACTTTTTTTTTTTTTTGTTCTCATAACTTAAATGTAAGGAAACGCTCTCGCACGTGTCAGGATGGCCGAGCGGTCAAAGGCGCTGCAATCAGGTCGCAGTCCACTTGCGTGTTCGGGAGTCCAACTCCCACGTCGAGCAATTATATTTGGTTGAGTTATTTTTTTTAGTTCTCATAAAGTAAATTAAAGGAAAAGTTTTCTCAAATTTCAGGATGGCCAAGCGGTCAAAGGCACTGCGTTCATGTCGATGTCCACTCGGTTTTGGCGTGGGTTCGAATCCCACTTCTGATAATGTAATTTTATTGAGTCATTATTTTTTTAGTTTTCATAAGCTAAATGTAAGGCAAAGATCTTCCACAGGTTAAGATTCCTGAGCGGTCTAAAGCGCTGCGTTTAAGTCGCAGTAAAATTCTGCAGGCGTGGTTTTGGATTCCACGTTTGACAATTTTATTTCATTCATTCATTTTTTTAAGTTCTCATTAATTAAATGAAAGGAAACCCTCTCCTGCGTTCAGGTCGCAGTCCACTTCTGTGGGCGTGGGTTCGAATCCCACTTCTGACAATAGAATTTTATTCAGTCATTTTGTTTTTGTTCTCATAACTTAAATGTAAGGAAATGCTCTCGCACGTGTCAGGATGGCCGATCGGTCTAAGGCGCTGCAATCAGGTCCCAGTAAACTTGCGCGTTCGCGGGTCAAACTCCCACGTCGAGCAATTATATTTAGTTGAGTTATTTTTTTTAGTTCTCATAAAGTATATTAAAGGAAACGTTTTCTCAAATTTCAGGATGGCCAAGCGGTCAAAGGCGCTGCGTTCATGTCGAAGTCCATTTGGTTTTGGAAGTGGTTTTCGAATCCCACTTCTGATAATGTAATTTTATTGAGTCATTATTTTTTTAGTTTTCATAAACTAAATGTAAGGTAAAAAGATTTTTCATAGGTTAAGATTCCTGAGCGGTCTAAAGCGCTGCGTTTAAGTCGCAGTAAAATTCTGCAGGCGTGGTTTTAGATTCCACGTTTGACAATTTTATTTCATTCATTCATTTTGTTAAGTTCTCATTAATTAAATGAAAGGAAACCCTCTCCCACGAGTCAGGATGGCCGAGCGATCTAAGGCGCTGCGTTCAGGGTCGCAGTCCAATTGTGTGGGCGTCGGTTCGAATCCCACTTCTGACTATGTATTTCTATTCAGTAATTTTTTGAGGTTAAAGAACTAAATGCAAGGGAAAGGTATGGTGCGTGTCAGGATGGGCGTGCGGTCTAAGGCGCTGCGTTCAGGTCGCAGTACACTTTTGTGGGCGTGGGTTCGAATCCCACTTCTGACAATAGAATTTTATTCAGTCATTTTTTTAGTTCGCATAACTTAAATGTAAGGAAACACTCTCCCACGTGTCAGGATGGCCGAGCGGTCTAAGGCGCTGCGTTCAGGTCGCAGTCCACTTCTGTGGCGTGGGTTCGAATCCCACTTCTGACAATAAAAATTTATTCAGTCATTTTTGGTTAGTTCTCATAACCTAAATGTAAGGAAACGCTATCGCACGTGTCAGGATGGCCGAGTGGTCTAAGGCGCTGCAATCAGGTCGCAGACCACTTGCGTGTTCGGTGTATAAACCCAAGGGCAAGCAATTTTATTTAGTTGAGTTATTTTTTTAGTTCTCATAAAGTAAATTAAAAGGAAAGATTTTCTCAAATTTCAGGATGGCCAAGTGGTCAAAGGCGCTGCGTTCATGTCTAATTCCACTCGGTTTTGGCGAGGGTTCGAATCCCACTTCGGAAAATGTAATTTTATTCAGTCATTATTTTTTTAGTTTTCATAAACTAAATGTAAGGGAAAGATCTTTCACAGATTAAGATTCCTGAGCGATCTAAAGCTCTGCGTTTAAGTCGCAGTAAAATTCTGCAGGCGTGGTTTCGGATTCCACGATTGACAATTATAATTCATTCATTCATTTTTTAAGTTTTCTTTAATTAAATGAAATGAAACACTCTCCTACGTGTCAGGTGGTCGAGGCGGTCTAAGGCGCTGCGTTCAGGTCGCAGTCCACTTGTGTGGGCGTGGGTTCGAATCCCACTTTTGACAATGTATTTCTATTGTCATTTTTTGAGGTTAAAGAACTAAATGCAAGGGAAAGTTATTTTGCGTGTCAGGATGGCCGATTGGTCTTATTCGCTGCGTTCAGTTAGCAGTCACTTCTGTGGGCGTGGGTTCGAATCCCACTTCTGACAATAAAAATTTTATTCACATACTTTTCTTAGGTTCAAAAACTAAATGTAAGGGCAAACTCTTTCACATGTCAGGATAGCCGATCGGTGTAAGGCGCTGCGTTTTGTTCACATTCCACTTCTGTGGGCGTGGGTTCGAATCCCACTTCTGATAATGTAATTTTATTCAGTCATTATTTTTTTAGTTTTCATAAAAACTAAATGTAAAGGCAAAGATCTTTCATAGGTTAAGATTCCTTAGCGGTCTAAAGCGCTGCGTTTAGGTCGCAGTAAAAATTCTGCAGGCGTGGTTTCGGATTCTACGTTTGATAATTATAATTCATTCATTCATTT